AATCTCAAAATCGAGTTTTTGCCCGGACACTGCCTTTGAAACGTTTGAAACTTTCAACAGGTTAGCCTTCTGTCGTCGCAATCATTAGCGCAGCTGCAATGTGTCAAGGCTGTCTCATCCTAGGTCCGCTTACTAGTACTGAGCAAATTTTGTGAGTTCGAGTAGAGTCATACTCCACAAGCCTACTGATCTTGAAATTCGTGAATCTAACCTCCGCGGTAAATAGGTCAGCTCGTTTGTTCGTTTATGAATACGTGCACATATGGCCATGCGAGTCCTTGCTGCACCATTGCTTGAACGTTCAGGATACATGCTCATTCAAGGGTTCATTATCCCGGTCGTGGGACCTGGCGTTGTGCCATGAAAGTTTTGCAATTTTGTTATATGATGAAGAAAGAAAGGAGCTCATTTTCACGCAACGGTTCAGACCAGGTTAGTCTTTCTATAATTTGCCTTTTCTTGTATCTACAGAGTAGGTTTTCAGCCGCGTTGATTGGACTTGCCCGTCATCGTGCTCCTCCAAAAACAAAACTTGAATCCATTGACTGGTCCTCACAACCTTCTGAATGGGCGTACACCCTTGAACTGTGCAGTGGGCATTATGATCGCAACGCATCGAAAGAGCAGATCATGAAGCAAGTCAAGGAATGTGTTGCGCACAGATGCGGCTATCTAATCAACGAAATGGATTTTGTTACCTCATATTTGTAAGTTATTCAGCCTCCTCTTGATAGAGTCCCTTTATCATCTCTATTTTCAGAATAGGTATTAGCTTCTCCGGTGATCGGCAGAGGGTCTATTACGCTAAGGTAAATAGTTCTATGAAAGTGAAAGACTGGAAGCCCATGGAAGATGTATCACCGGTCAGTAACAATTTCTTCTATGATACGTAGAGAAATGTGTGCTGAATTAGCCGTTGATGAACTTTTGCTGTTAGACGCTTCTGTTGTACTAGGTTAACAATTCATCAGCTAAAGAGATGTTGTGGCTTAAAGCCAGTGTCCCTTGCGAACTGGGGTGTACCTAGATCTCACTGCGTTGCGATGGTAG